TTTGAAGGAGTTCAAGAACTAAGGTAATTTTCGAAATTACTTATAATATATAAAAATTTATTATTATTACATGTTTTTAAAGATGACGATCTGTTTATTCGACATATGTATGTACGAGTTATGTATTTAATTGTTAAATACATGTTTTAAAAAATTTTAAATTCCGCTGCGTATAGCTCGTACGTTACAGGCGAACCCAACAAATCCTAGAGTATGAGATTGAGTATCCCTGAAGTTGGCCAAAGAGTGTTGAGCTTGGCTGGAGAATATGACCAAAGAAAGCCCTCAGTCGAGCCAGCCGGAAGCAGGTCACAGGCAAATACCGCAAAGACCCGTGTGCACTATTCTGCGACCTAATAATTCCTGGCAAATGTCGCTGACTCGCAAGAAACTATTTGTGTCCCAGTGCCCATGCGCCCTCACCTCAGTGCCCACACACACGTACCTCAGTGCCTCAGATGTGCCAGCGCCCCTGCGCCATTCATCATGTGCCCAGTGCCCATGTGCATCCTTGCAGCGTACCATGCCCGACAATCCAGCGATGTCCCTATAGCGTTAGTGAGAACCAACGCACCTGCTACCTGCAAAACTATGCACGCCTGTGTGTCCCAACAGCCTCGTGCTAGAGCGCCCGTGCTCCAGTGTACCACAACACACCTTTGCCATGCCCACTAGCCATGATCAGGCCAACAGCGAGCCCAACAGACCCAAACAAAGTCTCAGCAGACTCGCACCGAGCTGGGCAACCACAGCAACAGGTCGACCTGAGCGGTCCAGCCAGCCAAATCTGGTTTGAACGTGCGCGAATCGGCCGGTTCAAACCAGCTGAAAAATAGTATTTTTTGATCCTTAGTTTTATCCGAGAACTCTACACGAGCCTAAAAATAGAGAGAGTTAGAAGAGTTATTTTGTTTGTTTTTGTTTGCCTTAATTGCTTGGTTTATTTAAAAAGTTAATTCCAAACAAATTCCTCAATAAATTTTCTAAGTTAAATAAATGATTAAATTGTAGATTCAGAGGATTCGAGCCCTCACGAAGAATCACGTGTATTTCATTCATCATCATCAGCAGTTAAGGTGGGGTGTTTCTATGTTATACCTTACTCTTTAGAAACGCAAGGTATTATGTTTTATGTATGTTATGTGTTACATGGCTTGTGAAGGGCAATTATTTATATTATGCCCGCGAAGGGCGATTCCTGTGAAGGGCAAATCGGTTTCATTCTGCTGTGAAGGGCGATGCATGTGAAGGGCAAATCTGATGTATGACGCCTGTGAAGGGCGATTCCTATGAAGGGCAACCAGATGAGATCAATTTTACATATTTCATGCTTAAAATATGATATCTGTTTTTTATGATGACTAATCGTATAGTACGGATCCCATGGTAAGCTAGTTGTTTTGCTCGCCCCCACGATTATCATTTCTAGGTTGAGTAGCTGGCGACAGACGCGAGGGGTCGATGGTGATTAATTTTATGTTATTAATTATTTATGCTTCCGCAGACATTTCTCAAACTCTTTATATGTTTCAGTTTTTCATGTTGAGACCGAGTTTTATTTAAGTTGATCGAGACTAATTGTTGAACAATTTTTTTTTTTTTTCTTTTATGTCTTCATTATTGAGATGCAAGTGATAAGTTTGGGAAGTGATTTTCTAAAAGAACCTAAGTGTGAGACTTAGGTTAGATTTTTAAAGAAAATAAATGATAAGAAAGAGTTTTAAGTAGGAAGAACTTTTTAAAAGTTAAATTGTTTTAAAAAAAGTTTAAAATTATTAGGGAAAAGTCAGTGTTACCCTAAATATAAGTAGAGGGTGCTTTGCACGCCCTTTATGTCTTCGTCCGCAAGGGCGGCGGCAACCTCCAGCACGACTGGTGAGATGTGTTTTATGGAGGAGAAAGATGGTTGAAATGTCTGGGAAGACTTGAATGATGGGCATTTGAAAGAAATCCGGACATAATATCATCTTAACATAATTTCAGTATTATACAATAAATAAGAAGGGTTTTGACTTGTAATACATTAATATTTGTAAATAAAAATAATTGCATAAAAGTTATTCATTTGTGTAAAAATATACCAAAAACATTGGGGTAACATTTTTGTCTAGAAATAAAATACAAGTGGTGAGGACGGTAATTTTCTCTCAAAATTAGTTATATTAAAACAAAAAAAAAAAAAAAACAAGAAGCAATGTAAATGGTGTAATAAACATTTTTCACAATCAATGCACACGCAAAATTTCAAAAATAAATATTAAACATGGTCCAATTCATTTTGCGAAGATGACACAATAGCGAAGGCAACTAGTTATTACACTATCCATTATGTGAAAATTAAAGTTTTCAGTTATTTCACCCTTTGTTTCTCAACAAATCAAGCACATGAAAACGATAAAAGTAGAAGACTAAGTAGCTTATCTTAGTGAAGAATACAGGTAAAATCTGTCTAGTTGTTGTTTGTTAGCAGAAGAGGATTCCTTGACATCCATGTTTGGCTGTGACGACTTCCTTTCCTCGAGAATGAATCCATCATCGTCTACCTTCACATAGTTGGTGATAACTCGTAAGCCACGATTAGCGTTAGTGTTACTACTGCTGCTCAAAATTAACATTTGGTCTCCTATAGCTCTAGCAGGAGGCGATGACACTAGAAACGGGCCTCTGATGACCTTCCTGGGAGAAACTAAGCTGATGTTTTTGTCAGGCGTCTTGTTTATGTCGTCCACATAAAGTAGATCCTCAATTCGTGACATGATGTTGAATGCCAAACTTTCCAACACCCTTGAGTAGCTTTCCAGAATAGACTTGCCAACATCCTATTTTAAGTTTTACAATAATTGGGAATTTGAGTAAAAATAAGATTTGAGTGAAAAAGTATGAGACGCAGCAGCCTAACACACACAAGACAAGATACAATGTACCTACCTTGTTGCATTGTATCTTGGTTGCATCCAAAGCCGTTTGCATAAGAGTCGGGAAGCGCAATCTCAATGAAAGCAGGAGGTTCTCGGCCCTCTCCACCAGTAAACCTCTCTTCATCTCCCCATCCATCATTACATCCCTAACCATCTCCCATGACGACACACGTTGCCGCCTCCAAACATGGATGGCTGCCTCAATCCGATTCGCCATCTCTAAACAACCTTCATCTTCAACATTCTCGACCAAGTAGTCGGGGGACAAATGCTCACAACTACTTATGTAACGGTACAAGACATCCCCCAGGCATCCTTTTCCATTCTGAATCAAAATAAATACCAAATAATGAACGATGTTGTATCAAGAAACAAAACGTTGTAAATCAAGATAAATTAAAGTAAATCACACCTTGGGGAGAGATTCCATGTACGAATCTGGAACTTCCATCTCAGCCAAAGTTGCGACATTAATGGCAGAGGCAGCTTTGAGGATCTGACTACCACATTCTAGCTTCTCATTTAATTGCTTTCTCGTGCCCTCAGAAAGACCTCCAGGCGGTACACATGGCATACCCATCCACCGCTTCTCCTCCTCACGCTGAATACCACCTTCTGAACCCAATATGCCTTCATCCACATACCAATATTCGCACTCGCTAAATCCATCTAGTATCTCCTGATAAAACATAAACCATGGGATGCAAGATTAATAAATTCATTCACAACAATAAGTAAACCAAAAAATAATAATGGAAAAAAACTTTATTTAATCTTACGAGTAGCATATTGTCAAGTTTGCGGAGAGCTGGCATGTTAATAAATAGATCCATTCTAGGCCGACTGCTCATAATCTGAGAAGAAAGAATGAGCAAAGAAGTAAACATAACAAAATCACCTATAGCTTGAATATTATAGGTACTGCTTTCTTTCTGGACAATACATTAAGAGTGGATAATGAGGATATAAGAAGCTACAGCATACATGAATCAAGCAAGTGTGACCATGAAATCGAATGAGCTTTACCTCGACTCTGCTTCCGTTTGGCAGTGCATGCCAAGAAGGTACCATTTCAACAATATAATCGCTCACACAAAGAAGCCATTCTATTTCTCTTTGCCACTTAGATTTCTTTTCGTGAGGCAGTGGTTGTAGCCTCCATAACTGGCCAAATACGGTGGCTACGTACACGTAAAGGTCAAATCATAATGAGTAATGAAGCAATACATGAACTATCATAATGAACTGCATATTAAATTGATGGCTACAGTGCTACACGCGAAGGTCAAATTATAATCAGTTGTGAACTGTAGGCATTGCATAGAACATACTACAGCCCGTTCGAAAGGTTTTTTTTTTTCTTTCAAGCCATTATATCCATTAGAATCACTGTAATATACTTACCACCACCAAGTTAATGAGTTAATGTGACTTTACATCACATCATCTTCTAAAAATTTTTCTTTTTATTTTTTTTTTTTTCTTATAATATTTAATAGAAATAAGGATACTTTAAAAGCAAAAATCTAGGATAATATCTTTTATAATTTATTAATTTATTAACACTAAAAGAATCAATAAAACGTCATATACGTGATCTATGACTTTTGAAGTTGAAAAAAAAAAAAATCAGTAAATGTATCTATTTACTATATAGTTAGATAGCTCATTCTAAATATTACAAGTACTTTTGTATATCCTACTATCTACCTTCTATTTTTCGAAAGTGAGTTTTCATAACATGGGTCACAATAAGCATAATTTTAAAATTGGTCCTATAATTTGGCCACTTTCCAAAAAAATCACCCCAATATTGGCCACTATCAAACTTGGTCCTATAATTTGACATTTTAATCAAATTTGGTCCTTTTATAATCAATTTTGGTCCTATAATTTGACATATTGGTCATTTTTTAATCACATTTTAATCCATGTTCTGGATAAAAATGATCAAATTTGATTAAAATGTCAAATTATAGGACCAAGTTTGAAAGTGGTCAATATCGGAGTGGTTTTTTGGAAAGTGGCCAAATTATAGGACTAATTTTGAAATTATGCCGGTCACAATATATAATATTTTTATTTGATTTTATATATATATATATGAGCGAAAACTAATTTATTAAAAAACTATCTCAAAATATGGAAGCGGTAGTTTTATTTTATTCTGGTTAATATTTTTTAGAAAGTTATACTGCTTATGCGAATTTTTTTTTAAAAATTATGACTGTTGTTCATCAATTAATTGCTTGTATTGTAACTTATATATATATATATATATATATATATATACATATATTGTTGTACATAACATATATTCTATATCTATAGATTTTTTTATATATAATTCTACGTTTACAATTCATAATTCCACGGCTCTCGTATGTGCGCAACTATATGTAGTTAGGTTTCTATATTATATTTCCTATATTATTCTTACAGTCTTACAGTTCATAAATTAACATTTCATGATTCTATGGTATATATATGTAATATGTTGTCAGCATCCAGCCAACTTTGATGACCAGCAGCCTTTCTATTAATGGACATTGATAAAGCCAAAATTGATGGTTGTTGTGCCTGCCAACTTTGACAATTTAGGAGCGCCTTTTCCCTCTATAAATAGAGGGCATTCAGCGGAATGGAAAGCACACCAAGCAAGAAAAGAAAAAAATAGCATAAACAATATTAAGGTTTCTGGATTGTTAGATTTTTTAGTGAGACAAATATGGGAAAAATTCAAAACTAGTACTACAGGTATAGGGGGTGACAATTTTGGTCCCAAGGAAATGCCAAAAAAATAAATAGTCCCACAACTTTTAAAAAATGATCAAAAGTAGGACTTTTTGCCGGAGTTTACTGTTTCTGGCCCGGAATGCCACGTGGCGCACACGTGGCATACTTTGCTGCATATTTTATGCATACTTGTGGGACCAAAAATGTCACATTCCTATACCTGTGGGACCAAAAATGTCACCTTCTTATACTTGTGGGACTAGTTTTGATTTTTTTCAAATCCACGTCGGATGCCAGCGTGTAAAAAATATGCCACGTCTGCACCACGTGGCATTTCGAGCCGAAAACAATAAAACCCGGCAAAAAGTCCTACTTCTGATCGTTTTTTAAAATTAGTTTTGGGACTATTTATATTTTTTGCAGTCCGTTGGGACTAAAAATGTCACCCCCCTATACCTATGGAACTAGTTTTGAATTTTTCCCAGAGAAATATAGAGCGTTTGAGTAATTCTATGATTATAGGAAAAATACACCGGGTTGGATATCATCTCTATTACTCCTTGTTTGTAATATTTGAATAGGAGTAGAGTCTCACTGGGTCACTATATTTCATATTTCTAGTGTAGGGAAGTGTGAAAAGATATTGTAATTATCTTAAAAATATAGTGGAATTGTTCGGAAGTTGTCCCATGGTTTTTTTCTCTACCTTGGAAGTTTTTCCACGTTCAATCTTGGTGTTTTCTTTCTTGCATATTTAGTTGAAATATTCTTAGTATGCTCTGTGGACGCAGTTTAATATGATATTCTACATCAGAAAAAAATTATTGTTGTTTTATTGCAACAGATTTTTTCTTTTTTTTTTGTCATTCTTGAGTTGCTGTGATTGAAATTGATTGCTCACTATTTTATATCGGTGTTTTAATTTATACTTTCCGCATTTGCGCAGCTGAGCCAACATATGTGTCAATCCTCTATAAATGATTAGTCATTAGTTTTTGTTCGGCAAAATAAAAATAAAGCATGCATAAAGAAGTAGTGAATATGCTATGAATTATGTTCTCCCAATTAAATATGGTAAGATATATTTAAAATAATTATCTAATAAAGGAACATATAAATGTTGATAGATCATGCACAAACTTAAAGGCAAAAATTACAAACCAAAATCTTTCGTCAAACAAAGAATATTTATTTAAAAATCACATTCATGGATAATATATATTAATTAAATAATTTTTACTACTTTTAATTGTCATTTTTCACCCACAATAATTAGAAATTAAAATCCAATAAGTACGAAATAAAATTATTAATTTATTGATTTAAGTTTGTTGGCTTTTTGGTAGTTGTATCATTTTAATGGGTTGCAACTAGACAGGTCACAGGTCAGGGCGACCAGCCGGTTTGGCAAACGGATAGGAATTGGCCCTGAGCTGGCCCGTAATCAACGAGCTTAGAGCCGAGCATGCAGTTCGACCGGGTCGGTTCCGTGCCACCTATTTATAAATTTTATGACTGGCTGGCCAGGTCAAGGAAAACCCGTAATCGACCCGTCATTATTTTTATCTTATTTTTTAGAAAAAAAATAATAATAATCTTGGGCCTGCTGATATTCGTTGGTAGGCTGTTGGATCTTTTTGACCGTAGGAGATCCTAACGCTCAAATAGGTTTTATTTTATTTTTCTATAATCGATTTCAGGTCAGGGTCAAAGTCCTTCCCCAAATCGCAGCGGTCGCCAATAATTATTTTTCACATCTGATCATTGAGATCCAACGGCCAGAATCTGGCCGACCCGCTTGACCCGACGAGTTTCTTAAAAAAAAATATCAAATAAATAAAAAAAAACCATATAAATAATTCCACACTTCCTCTCCCAAAAATCATATTGTTCACACCATTTACAACTTTCTTCCACTATTTCCTACTCGTTTCTATGTTCCTGGAGTGTTTTTTTTTATTTTGTTTGTGTGCTCGAATTACTATAAAATCGGTTTGTAACTATATAAATTCGGTCTCGAACTGCCGATTCTATATACTAGTACGTACCCTGTGCGATGCACGGGACAAATATATTAAATGACTTATTTTCACAGCCTTGTCCGTTTAAGTCTAAAAAGTAATAACATTATTATCTATTTTCTACCTCTTTTAATCAACGTTATGTCTAAAAAATTATTAAGCCGCCCTCTGGCAAATATGTATGGAGTTATGTGTTCGTGTCTCATAAGTCACAAACATTATGAATAACATTACAAATTATTTATTCAAACTTTTATTCACTGCAAATATATTACAATAGTTTATATAACAGCCATTAAATACCACTTTCAATATATTTATAAATAAAAAGTACATAAAATTTTTGGTGTGTTTAATTTAAATAATTTTTTAGGGGCTCAATTTTAAATCATCCAGACATTTGGTCAAATGCATAGGTGTGTTCAAATTTAAATCATTGGCATTTTGGTCGGTTGAAATTTAAATCATCTACCATGGTACTGTGATGTGTATTATATATATACAATTTTTTAACAAATAATATGTGCTTTATAAAAATTAATTTCACAAGATTTTAAACGTAAAATTTGGTTTTAATAACAATAGAAAAGTCATGGTAAGTTGTAGTGAAAATGTGTTATGAGATAAAATAATTAACTAAAATAATTAAATAAAATACTTGATGGAAATAGAATGCATTAATTACCTTTGACTTTTCTTACTACCAATTCTAGTAAATAGAATGTCTTTTTATATAAGTATAGATGTGCATGTAAGATTTTTTAAACTATTTTGTAAAGAAAACATGTCTAAAAATAATTAAACTTAACATGTGTTACGTATATGTGAGTATATATATATGGACATATAGATAGAATATGTTAAAAAAAAGTATGTCTGAACATTTTGTTTAAGTATTTAAAATATTATATGCCTAAATAAAGGCATTATCTCACGCTAAAGTTGTTTTAGAGAAGATTTATAAGATACAATAATTATGATGTTACTTCCATATGAAGATTTGACTACACAATATTTCAAAAATTACTATCATTTTTTTAAGTTGTTACCATAAAAAGGAATTTGTACACTTAACAATTTATCAATTTTACAAATACAAATTGAAATTAATGCAGAAGCTATCAATTTTACAAATACAAATCGAAATTAATGTACACCAAAAATTATGTGACAAATAAAAAAAAATTTTATATATAATTGAGATCAAAGGCGAACATTGAAGACTGTTTCCATTAACATTTACAACGTGTATTTAATGTTTTTTTTTTTGTCAAAATATTCTTTCTAAGTGTGATATATAAATATTAAAAATAC